ACTAGTTTTTGCATGAGAAGTCGAAGTATACAGCAGTTGGAGCAACTATAGATAACTTTATTAAAAACATAGAACTTTAGGCAACAAAAGGTAGGTTCAGTTCAGGAAGGTGCCTTGGGTTAACTCCTCAGAACTTGCTTTTTCTACACACTCAGAAATAATTCTTTCCCATTCTAACTAAAATTCTTTTTTACCTGAGCTTATGGTGACTTTTAGTCTTATCTGCAATTTTCATTTGATCTTTTTCTGCTTACCTGACTAACTTCCAGTAAGCAGACTCCTAATTTAAAAAAAAAAAAAAAAACTACCCTTTTTTGCCCTTTCCACAATGAAATAAGTCGTCATTTGGGGTGAATACTAAGCAAAAAGAAGCCAAAGATATACCTGGGAACTGGGAATACCAGGAGAAAAACTGAGTTTCAACACCAGTGAAAGAATGGTATTTCAGATGTGGCTTTGTGGTATCTTGCTTTCAGACATGCATGCACACACATGGTATTTTGATGGTTCTGTGACTAAATACGTTAAGCAATTTGTTGCCTTTAAATTAGTCACTTTTTCGTTATATATTAAGGTTTTTAATCAAAAACATTTTTACGAAGCAGAGGACACTTTTGAAAAGGTATGGAAAATGGTTTTTTGATTGAATGTTTAAATAAAATTTATAAAATTTTCATTTTCAGGGAGTAGTTGATGTTCCTGTATTTTCCTGGATATATATTTAAAAAAAAAAACTACTTTAAGCATTATACAAGCTCTTCCTTCCTTTACTTTTAAGGCTTCTTGATTGAGTTTATCATTTAGTTTAAAAAATTCAACTGTATCAGATTTTTTAGTTTAAAGCATTTCATTGTAAAGCACTACAGAATATGAACTTGGCAACTTCATGAAAATTTTATGAAGTATGTAGGAAATGCTAAAGTTTTATGGTTTTAGGTTGCCAGTTCATGCACATGTGGGAATGAGAGGATGTTTTTTTTGGGGGGGGGTCAGTATATATGGTAACTTTTATTTGTTTGACTACAGTTAGAGTAGTAGCAGAACGTTTAGTCGGAAAAACCCAAGTCCCTTCCTTTAGCTGGAAATACCGGTAACTGTGATTTTTCCAGATTAAAACCCACCAGTCCTTGGGTTATGTTTTTCATTTGAAGATGCATCCTGTATAAAATGTCTGACTAATTAAATTGTGGATTTCATGCAGTGTTTGATGTTCTGTTGATTCTGAAAAGGACGAGGCAAGCCGAGTACTCTCTTTGGCAGGATGATTGTGAAGAAAGAGTTCTAATTGCTAACACAATATGTAACTGTATAGCTCGTCTCTGATCTTCTGAGACGTTACAGTGCCTTAAAGGTCCTCCTGTAACTCTGACTCACAACTCTTTCCAGTGCTCTTATACGTGAAATAGCTTATTTTAATCTGTTTCTTCTCATTGTAGTGTACATGATACAGAAGCACGGTTGTCAATTTTAAGACAGGGTATAGGTACAGATGGGAGACTGAATGATTTTCTCACAGGATATCTGGGCAGATGAGACCATCTTGCAAGCTACTATTAGTGAACTGTCCTTTCTTACTTTACTCTTTAGAGTTTCTTCAACTTATGTCTAACAAAAGTAAATGCAAAATAAACAAATACAGCTATCAAGAGGCATCCCCTAAGCCTCAATGTCTGTGTAATTTTTTTCACTGTCACTTTCCTTTCCTGTATACTTCCTTTTTAACTATCACTTTTGTTGTTTAAACTTGCATAGGAAAAGTGCAAAGTCTTCATTTGTTGTGCAAAGGACAAGATTTGTGGTGCTATAGAGGTAGGATAGAATGAAGAATAAAATCTTTGTTAATAGAATAAAATCTTTGTTTTAATAAAGTCAGTCCGGCCTTCTAGAAAATACGGTAACTTCTAGTTGAATATTTGTTTTCATAAAAATTCACTGATTTATTTTTAAATTGTGGACATGTTCACAGCAAAACGTGCTACAAATTTTGTGCCAAGCACTAACCTTGCAAATCATGTTAATATACTTGAAGGCATTTGCCTTACAGAAATTTCCCTTAGCAGCAGCCACCATTGATTGCCTCTTACCTGTGCTACCCTGTAGATACATGCAGCAGTTTTTGAACAGCACATTGCTAAATTGGGGCCAGGCTGTAAAATAAAAGAGAAATGCTATATCCCATTGAAGCTATAACAATCTTAGTAGGAAAAAACAACAGATACTGTACAAGTAAATGCTTATAACCTGATTTAGATTATTTATAGTCATTTTCAGTTAACACTTACACAGAATGTCTTTGTGGGTTGAATTACAGATAGTACTGATTTGCATGATTGATTAAACAAATATTGTACAAATACAGCCTTACATAAGTACTTGTACTGGCTATTACTTCATATGTTGTTAAGGTAAATACTGAAATAGAAAACCATAATCAGGTTAGACCTGTATTACTAGCTACGGCAGTTTCAAAGGGGTAATGGCAGCATTTTTCAAAATCATTTTATGTTCCTATACCACTAAGATACTGTGAAAGCTTATCCCATAAACATTTCTAGATCGTAGGATGGGACTTTTCTTTTGACTCTTTGAATGTGTAAAGCATCTGCTGCGTGGGAGGGAAATGTAAGCATGTTGGGGTAACACTCTTTCTGTAAAATTTTATTTCTGAACCACAGTCTTTGTATAAACAATTATCATGCAGTTACTTTTATCATTTTAACATTGATGGAAGCCAGTGATTTTTATTTACATTCCCGCATCTGTGTTGCTCAACACTTAAAATATAAAATTGAATTCATTTTCTGTAATGTTTCATGATAACAGCTGAGGATGTTGCTTTGTAGCAGTCAGAAACTATGTGGGAGAACCTTTAGAAAATACAGCTTTAAATTCTCCCTCTCGCTGTAACACAGCGTTAAATTATGGTAGCTAGAAAAAAAAATTGATTGCAACTCATTGCCTATAAAGAACAGAAAACTTCAGAATATGCACTTGGAAAATGCTTATCCTAAAAGCCTATTGATGATAACAGCCTCTACCGGGCTTCTTCCCTGGGGTCTGTTTCCACTTCTGTTACTTTAACTGGCAAGCACTTGCGAGCTGTGATTAGACTTGTGTGTATTGTGGGTTTGTGTATGTGTGTGTTTTTTTTGTTTTTTTTTTTTAAGATAAACTCAAAAATGATAGGAAATTGGTTATGCTATAACAGTGTTTTAGATTTTTTTTGCTTGATGTTTTAAAGGAATACTTTTTCATTGGAACGTGAAAGAGGTTATTTCTCAAGCATGTGCCTGTCAGAGGTGAAGGCCACTGGCCGTGTGCCTGCCATCGTTTTTCACAAGTTCAGATGTTTCATTAGCACCGTCTGTGTAGCCACACTCGCTTACCCTGAGGACGGAGAGAACTGACCACAGCAGCTGGTCAGTTCCTTCTGATCAGGCTTTATGAGAAAAAAACTGAAAAAGATTATTCTCCCATTTTTGAAGACTGTTGCCAAGCAGGAGCAGGCGGATGCGTACCAGCAGTTCTGCACTGTATTTTGTGTTTACCCCGGGTGTCTTGGAATCACTTTGAGGTAGCTTGTCACTACTCCCCTGCCCCAAACCTCCACCAGGAGATAAAATACTCTTGATTTTGAGTGTACGGTGGGGTGGTTGTTACTGTATGTGTGTGCGTTTTTTGTTTTTTTTAATCACTCCAATGGGACAGCAACAACTTTCCAAGTGGTAGCTAACTGATTTTGAAGTGGCATTGGCTCCCGACTTTCTGCATGAGTTAGTTACTTTTTTTTTTCCTCATTAGGATAGTATTTGATGAAAGTATAATATACTGGGGCCTAATCAGCTGGCATGCAGGCTGCATCAGCTGCTTTCTGTAGTTACCTGCTAGTAAAAATTTTGTCAGCAATAAATGTTTGGGTTGGTTGCACATAGAGCCTTTAACTTAGGTTTTCTAGCTCAGATGCCCAGCTTGAGAGGAGAGGTCAGGTTATTGAGGAAAATCTCTTCCTGTCCTTTCAAGATCAGATGCTTGCTGACCATTGAGTTGCATAGATAGATGCTTGAAGGGGGTTACTTTAACGTAACCACAATTCTTAGAGAATGGTCTGTGTAGGTCCATCAGCTACTTCATTTCTTCTGCAGCTTTGGGAGTTTTATTGCCTGTATTCTAGACAGTGACTGGGAGTGGTTACTTACAGCTGTTTTGCTTTTATGTCTCCAAAAGAAATGGTGACTGTGTGCAAGATCTCCCAGGGCCTATAGCTGAAATCGTTCTGCATTCCTGTGCAGAGTACCCCCCCCGCAGCAGAAGTGGGGCATAGATGCTCTGTACAGCTCGGCAAATTTCTTGAGTAGGCAGAAGACGCTAGGTTGTCTGTCAGAGCACAACACTTCTAAAATTTGTCTTCTGTTTCTTTGGGGCTGAAACAGTTTGAGGTTTTTCAATGAATAATCTCCTGGAAAAATTTCACCTAGCTCAAGCTGTAAAGATGCTTGTTTGCTGTTCAAAGGGCTTAATGTATTTGTAAAAGGAGGAAGATAAAATATTCTGGAAGATACTGAATATTTGTTACAGCATTGTTTTGACCTGGCAAAACATTTAGGCATATATTGAGTCTCAAGCCTGTGCTCATGGTTTATTTACTTAATCTAAGAATATGTTTAAATGTTTTGCACAAGCAGATCCTGTTACTGTAACAGAAGTTTGAAAAGCAATACATTTAACACTTTTACACCTCCATGATGCCGTTAAGAAACGATCTTTACAGTTTCCTGGAGTGTCAATTTACTTTAAAATGTTAAACAAACAAACAAACAAACAAGCCCTCCTGCATTTCACGTGTGAATGGAATGCAAAAAAATGAGGCGGGGGGGAGAAATGGAAGCATCTGACACTGCTTCTGCTGCCACCTCTTGTTCTGCCCTATCTCCTGCCTGTCCCAAATAAGGATACTAGATATTTGCTTGGTCTTTAAATTGCTAATTTTGTTATTTTAACAGGCAACCACAGAGAGACCTTTTATACAGAAGCTGTTTCGACCAATTGCTGCAGGAGGACAGCTGCATACTTTGGGAGATCTCCTAAAAGACGTGTGTCCTAGTGCTATTACCCCTGAAGGTACTGTGAAAATAGTTTTTGTCCGATAAAGTAATTTCTCTTGTTCTTTTATATGGGGCTTTGTGGAGGCAGAAGTATGTCTCAGTAGCAGAGGTTCAGAGTTCACTCCTTTCTAGCCCTTTGTTGCACTTATATCATAGCAGCATTTAGAGAGGACAAAATTGAGTCCTTAGGCACTCCTGAAAAATTTAGCTCTGAAAGTTTTATTTTAAAACTCATGTACTCCTTTGCGGTCACATAGTTATTAAAGAAAATATTCACATTTTGTTTTCTGCAATTGTAATAGCTTGGAGGAAAAGTCAAAAAAAATTTAAATTTTATCTTTAATTTTAGATTGCATAAAACCTTCGTATGTAAAACTCTAAAATGGGTTGAAATTGAACATATGTTCAGAAATTTTTTTCCTGTATACGTTGAACCTTTAAAAATGTACCAAGAAGGAAAGAGGTTGTTCCAAGTATGTAATAGTTTGTGTACAGTTAATTACTAAGTATTGTATGATAAAGTACCAATTTGTTCATATAGCATGATATCATTTCATATAATAGCATGTGTTGATCAACTGCTATTCAGATGGATAAGTGTTTCTGGATTTTATCTTGGCCTCAGATTACAGCTGTTGGAACTCTCCTTTGATTTACTTTTTTGATGGGATAAATGTGAAAGTTATGTACCCTGGCAAACTGAGATCAAAATCATTTAATGTGAAATGTTTTTTGTCTTGTTCTTGCTGTTTTGTCTTACCGGTACCTGTGAATGACTAATTTTTTTCAGTAAATAAATGCTATTTTGAGAAATGTCTCTGATATTCTGGAGGAGTCTTAGCGCAGAATTAACAGGTCTAGTATCATTACCTTTTGATAATAGAGCAGTAAATTTGAAATCGTTTAAAAAAAAAATCTGTAAAATGCGTTTTTATACAGCAGTTGCATAGTTCACAATCAGGTAGTTATTGATTTCTTTAAGATACGGCTACCTTAAACTGACTTGTATCTCAAAATGTTTTTTTTTTGCTGTTTTTTAACCCCTGTTTAATACTTGTTAGCACATGGAAACAATTTCCAAAAACAACAAAAAGTAAGAGGGGAGGGAGTTGCTGGCTATGTGTTCCTTTTTCCTAAAACAACTCCAAATTTTGGAGCATAATGTTACAAATAAAGATTTGAAAATTAGCGCAAAGAGTTTTAACAATTGCTTAACCATAGTTAAGTATTTAAGTTTCAGAGTCCTACAAACACCAGTGAAAAGTGAACTTAAAAATATGGATTAGAAATGGTGATGCATTTTGACTTAAAAGGCCGTTAAGAGCACAAATTGAATGGAAGAAACTTAAAAACCGTTAATGCAGAAGTTATTCCAGGATATAATGGATGACAATTTTTACATGGCTTTACTAAAGCTGCACGTGGGGAATGTATAATCTTCAAGCATAAATAATGCAACATGGAGTGCCAATTAGTGATTTTTTTTCAAAGTCTGAATATAATTTGATTTTATACAAATACCAGTGACGTGACACAAATGGATCATCTTTTCAGTCACTGACAAATGTGCTGAACTTTAATAGCAGGATAGAAATTTTCTATGCTGATTGTTTGTTTCATTTTTGTTAAAGGCTAAAAAAAAAAAAACCTATACTGTTCAATCTGGTGCAAAAACTGGTGATTACTTGAGGGAAAAGAAACCAAAATAATTAGTATTCCTACACTTAAGAGGAGAGACTTGAAACTTGGCTGAAGGGTTTTTTTGTGTTGGGACATACCTATCTGTTGCTATATAAATCTGCTTAAATTTGCTTTAGTTTTGATCCTTAAGATTCTGCTGAGCAAACTGCAAACTTAGAATTTAGTAACTTTGATTCCTTGCACAAGTGTGAGCTGTCTGAGATTGAGCAGAATTTTTCCTGCAGTGCAGCTTTGGATCATTCCTCTTACGTTCTCAGTGTTCTTCTCTTCTTCTAGTAGGTAACAGGAAGCTAAATGTCTTGTATAAGCTAAATGCAGAACATACCATGTGAATTCTTGAGGAGGTATGGGGGGTATGCTACAAGGACCCTGTGGATGGGGAGGAAGACTGACTAGACAAGTAATTTGGAAGACAGTAACAGATCTGGGAGTCATTAAATGTGATGGGGAGAGTCACTATAAACAAATGGGGTAGGATGAAAGAGGTTGGGGCAAAAGCCAAAAAGTGAATAACTGTGAACACCTGGACAGAGAAAGTGGGATAGGAGTCAATAAAAGGCTGAAGGAGGAGAGAAGCATATGGCAAGTGAATCATACACTGAAAGGCAGAATGGAATTTGAAGTCCTGCTGGTTAAGTGATTGAGGTGGTCTAGAGACCAGTTTGCAGAAACACATTGGAACAAAGGTTGAGAGGAAGAACCGAACAGTTTGTGCTTGCAGGACAGGGTGATGAGGGTGGATAGATGGTCAGATGTAGCTGGAGATAGTCAGGTGGGGGACTAGAGAAAATCTGTTCAGGGCTTGCTGTACAAGGAGACTGCGTCTCAGACAGGGATGCCAAGTGGAGAATCAAGTATGGCAACGTGGAAAGAAGAAAAGACCTAGGAGACAGAATAGGAAGAAACAGATCTAGGACAAAACAGAGGGATGAGGAAAAAGGGGTCAGACTTTATGGGAAATGACGTGAAAAGGTAGGTGCAATGAGAGCAGTGATTCCTAGTGCTGAGGAATGTGCACAGGTAAAGTCAAGATATAGAAGAGGTGTGAAAGGCAGCAGTGGTTTAGGCCTGACTGCTTCACTCCATCCTACTCTGTTCACTGGATATACAAGATAGCCAAATAGTGATGGCGGGGGGACGTAAGAGGTGAAGAGCAATCTGCTCATCTTGGCCCATTCAGAAAGAGTGGTTGGGGGAGCTTAAAAGGGAGAGAAGGAACAGAAGAGACTGATTCATTTTAATGATCTTTTCTGTCCAGTCAGCAGATACTTTTTTGCCATACACACCTCAATTCAGTGTCATCACTGTACCTCTGACTTCTGATGGTCATCCCTGTAACTTTCTTCAACTTCTATTTCATTCCAATAATGCACAGTCTCCAATAACTGTCAACCGCGAGTGCCGTCATCCTCAGTAGCGTAAATCTTTCATCTTCCTTTAAGATGTTTTCAGCCTTGGCATTGCTCTTGCTTCTCTCCATCTTGTCTGTGCCCTCTTCCTATACCCTCAAGACTTAACGCCACACAGTTCTTTTAGTATATCCCATTCAGTCTTTTCCTCTTAAAATTAGGCCTGGTTTAAAAAAAAAAAAAAATCATAGTGCCCTCTGTCGTGCAGTATCTCCCCACTTTCTAGGGATTTTCTCCTGGTATCGTATCAGTCACCTTAAATGTCTTCCCATTCTCAATGTGTGTGAAGAACAAGCTTTGATTACTCTCTTGCTTGGCTTAATCCACTCATCTCATTCACTATTCAAATGCAACAGATAGACTCTATTAAGTGTTCATGCTGTAATACAGCTTTGAGGTATAAAAAAAACTCTCAAAAAACACTAACTCAACAGACTGCGGTAGTGCCACTTTTGAGGTTTGCCTATAGAAATGTTAGCAACCATAACTAGGACATACTTCTCCCTTTTCCAGCAGCTGGAATGGACTCCTGAGACTGCAGAACCTCAGCATTTTTGTGCTGCTAAAGTCTCCATGAAACCCACTCAGTCAACCCATTTCCTCTCTGATGCTGGTCCACTGAGAGATTAACAAGCTACCGCTGTCAACAGATGCTCTATTAGCTCAACATGCAGAGGAGAGTGCAGAGCTAAGTGTTTCTACCCAGTTTATGGGCATATGAGAATTTAATTTGTTAGCATTTTTGTGAACCTGGGAAACTATGCACAGATGTTTTTCTTTTAATGCAGTTATTCATTTGAAGTTGAACACTTGAAATTTAGGAGGTATCAGAATTTGAGACTGCCTGTGCAATCTTAATTTCCCTGCGCGTGTGTGAGCACACACATGCACATACACACACATGTTGTTATACAGCTTGTAGTGAAATTGTACTCCCCTCCCCCCACCCCCTCAACATGAGACTTTTCTTTTCCAGCACAGACTAGGTATGTTTTAGCGTTACGGTTGTGTAGTGAAAAACCATTGTCCTGATTGCTGATATGATAGATGGTGAATGAGTGTATTTCAGGGCACATTATGATTAAGGTAGCTTTATACTGCTCTTGGGGAATTGCATTTTTTTTCTCACCTAGAGAGTTCCTATGTGATACTAGGCAAGCTGAGTACTACAGAACTACCCATTTTATGAAGATGGTCACCACGTTTTTCCTGGTGCTTCTGATTTGAGTGTTCTGCAAAACAGCTTGATTGCTTGTACTTGGAATCAGTGAGAGCTCTGGGGTTTTGAATATACAAAATACCAGGTGCTCTCTGAAGTCAAGTTTTAGGCATTTCATTACTATTCTTCTCCCCCACCCTTGAAAAAAATGGATATATCCAGCTATAGCAATAAATTCACTCTTTGGACTTATTGCATAGTCTGTAAAATAGTGATGTTATCATCTTTCCGCACGAAATTCTAGATGAAGCAGAGTCTCTGAAGGCAAAATAGCTCGTGGTCAAGATTGTTTGAATTTCATGATATAAAAATTTGTCCTTGTGTCCCATGGACCTAACTTTTGTGTTTTCTAATTTTTGTTCTTGTGAACTTGCGTGTTTTGTCTTAATCTGCAATTTTAATTTATTCTGATCAGGGTGTTAAAATTATGTTGTGACAAAATAACATACATTTCCAAAAGTTATGTCAGAAAGTGATGGCAAATTCTTTTCCACATATGGGTTTTTAGACTTTATTAAGTGTAATCAAAGTTCAGATTTACTGGATTTTTCTGAACGGAGAAAATATAGTAGCTCATCAAAGGCATGCTTAAAGACATAATATGTACTGGTGAATAAATTTTTTCAACTTTTTGCCCTCTTATTTTCAGATAGTAATTTGGATATTTTTCTAAGACTTTTTAACCCC